GTCCCAGAACTGAAAGGAAAACAAATATCTCTGTAAATTAGAATAAAAGTTGTACAGTTCACTTTCATTTTGTTGTTGAAAGTAGCTGAGTTCATCTAGAACAGTTTTGAATCAAGCAAAGATTTTGGACACAGAGTCTTCCTGCTGTTGAAAACCCATCTTTCCTCATCATTAGTCATTCCTGTATTATTTTTCAGGCCATATCTTTCAATGCCACTGGCTAATAACTCCCATTTTTAAAATACCATGCAGAAATAGAGCCATGAAGAAAAAATCTCATCTTGGACATTATCAAACAAGGCAGGCTTCATATATACAGAGAAAATGACAAGACCTCTTTTCAACTATTCCTGAAAATGATGTGACCCTTATTAATTAAAATAGTTCTTCCAATCTGCTAATTCCATATCTAGGTCCTAAAACCAGCCACTGATGATACCACAGAATTGTATATAATTTTATATTTGTTGAGTGGAGAAGTTGAATTATTTTAAAAATATAAACCCAAAATGTCCTGCCTATTATAAAATTGTATTTTTATATATACATACTAAAAACTTTTTTTTTTGTTTTTCAGTATCCAGACTTTTTTGTCCCTTTCTTTTTTTTCTCAATGTCTGGTTTTATTACCTGTTTTTTTTTTTTTTTATTTATTTTTTTGTGATCCTTGAAGTCTACACAAACATTTGGTTTCACAAGATATTGTATTTATGGAATAGTTGGACTCAGTTACTCAATTATGGCATTAAATCTCTCTCTCTCTCTCTCTCTCTCTCTCTCTCTCTCTCTCTCTCTCTCTCTCTCTCTCTCTGCACATGCATGTGTATGAGACAGGGTCTCATGTATCCCAGAATGCCTTTAGCTTACTCTGTAGCTGATGCTGGCTTTGAATGACCAATCTTCCTGTTCCTACCTGCCACACACTGGGATTGCAGATCACACCACCAAGTCCAGCTCAAATTTATTGATGAAAATACAAGAGGATAATCAAGTTCCTAGAAAACCTGAGGAAAGGGCCTTTTCAATTTTGAAATAAAGCCTACAGACTATATTCCTCAGTGATTTTAATAACTAAACTTTTATCCAGATTTCATTAAAAATTTTAAATGACTATTGAATAATAGTGTGTAATGCATAATAAAGTGAAAAGATTGAAAATAAAGCTTTAATTCCAACTTATGGGTCTATAATAAGCCCGTGTTGACAACTCAACACTTTAGTATTTCCATCAGAAGCAACACATCCTTTCAAAAGTTCTGGTGGAATTGGAGGGCAGTTGGAAACAGCCACATGCAAGCTGTCATGTTAAAGGTGACATTTCCTGGGTCTCTGCCCTCCGGCTTGCCTTTTCCTTTCCTTGTGCAATTATTGCTCAAGCTCGTAGCATCAGCTCCCCCCTCTGTGCTAATGATTCACAGCAAAGACACTTCTTATCTTGTCCTGTTATCTCGCTGCTATTCTTGTGCATCCATCTTTCTACGGGACATGATGTCATCCTGACACTTGGTCCAAATGCAAGGTTAACCACACTCAAGAGAGAAAACTACTTTCCTGCCTTATTTGGGCACAAGAAACCACTACTCACACTCAGACAGACAGACAGGCAGGCAGACAGACAGTTAGACAGAAAGACAGATAACCATCTAAGGCTCTGCTCAGGACTCAGTGATCTCACTTCTCTTCCATCTGTATGCACAGATGTGTTTAAATTATGTTGGTCCCTATGTCCATATCTTACTGTATATTTATTTAACAAAAGTCTCTCTTCACTTCTCTCTCTTTTAAATGCCTACCACCATCAAGACTCCTCACTATACTGCTGGTCACATATGACCCCACTCTCAGCAAGGGCACCTTGGACAATGTCAAAGGCTGATTGGCATGCCATGCTCTTGCCATATGCAAACTGAGCAGGTAAGTGTGAGCACTTGGGGCAGAGCGGGGCACACAAAGTGGAGGGTCCTTTCTAGTATTACAGTGTCAGGTTCAAATTCACTTGAGAAGAGAAGAAGTTTTCTGTAGCCACTTTCAGGGAAAACATGCATATTCTGCAATTTCAGAGTCATTTTAAATTCAAGGCTTCATTACATAAAGTTCAGTGCCTCAACCCCATGCTCATCTTCCCAGGTGTCCTGTGAGCCAGAGGGAGACCCTTGTGGTACCTTGGTGTCTAATGGTCTACTCTGAGTGGGGTGTGTAGGTAGCTTCCTCATTGGCTCCCAGGGCCAGACCTCTCTCCACAGAACAGAACAGGAGAGTACATCTGGGCAGAAACAGGTGAGATGTAACCACCAGGACAGGAGTTAGGTCTAGAGGGGTCAGATGAGACAAGATTATTATTTTCACTGAAAGGCATATATTTGAGATGAGTGGAAGCCACTTTCTATAGAAGAGACATTTTCCATGTTGATTTGTATTAACTCCATGGTTGTAAATTCTACTCAGTCCTGCCTATTATATCTGTAGGCTTATGTCCTCCCTCTAGCTGCTAATTTTGGCTTCTTTCCTAGAATGCTGCATGTGCCAGAAGCTTTCTTTTTCAATTGCTCTCAGGTAAGCATCAGGGTGGCACAAAATGCAGCTGGCTGGCGTTCTGCAACCCACGTGGATACACGCTGGAGAAAACGTGCTTTAGGAGTCCCCGTGCATCCTAGGTGCAACATCCTGTGCACGTGTAGCTCTAGAGCACCATGCCAGGTTCAGGTCGTCGCTGCTCCTCAGCTCTCCAATGCTGTGCTAAGCCTGGGTCTTCTCTGCTCAGAGTCCGCTTCCCTTGAGCTTGGGAATCGGAGTCTCAGCACGGCTCAGTAATAGTCTGTTTTTAAACAACTCTTCAGGTTACCATGGATCTGAGCTGTGTGGGCTGCTTCTCCCTCCCTCCATCCCTTCCTCCACCTCACCCCCTCCATCCCTCTCTTCCTCTCTTTCTCTTCTCCTGCTCTAATAATTTGGTTTAAGTGTTTGTGGTGGGGGTGGAAACCACCTGTTCAAAACCAGGCATTTCATTTTCTTTTCATCTCCAGTGTTTTACATATTTATTTATTTATTTACCAGGAATGGGGATTAAATTGTCTAACAGCACCTTGTGAAAACAACGTTTAAACCAAATAACTGACTAGTGGTGACAGCAAGGTCCTGACACCGGTGGCTACACACTTGGGTGGTTATGTATATTTTTGCTGTCACACACCAGCAGCCGGGCCTTCAGTTTGGACTGTGTGTGTAGGTCAGGCAAGATGGCCTCAGCTGTCCTTCCTTCGATGTATGTATATCTACTTTTCTGATGTTGTTTCCTTATTTGTTTTTTGAGGCAGAGTCTCTCACTTCCCTGGAACTCATTCAGTAGGCTCTTCTGGCTAGTGAGCCTCAGGGATCCACCTGTACCTGCCTCCGTTTCCCTCCTGCTAGCATGACAAGTGGCTTTTTTTTTTTTTTTTTTTAAATCATGGATTCTGGGAAGCAATTGTGGTCCTCATGTTTACAAGACAAGGACTTTACCAACTGATCTTCCTAGCTTTCTCTCTCTTTCTCTCTTTCTTTCTTTTTATTGTTATAATATTTAAAATCCTTTCTATATGAAAAATCGGCCTGACTAAAATGTTGTCCTCTGTACACAGCAGATTTTATTTATATATTTATTATTTATTTATTTTGACATGCATTGGAGATCCTAGGACAATTTGTTGGAGTTGGTTCTCTCCTTCCACTGTGTGGGTCCTAGGGAATCAAATTCAGGTTGTCAGACTTAGCAGCAAGCACTGAGCCATCTCAATGGGGGACCTGGGGGAAGTTCTTGCTACTTACTTTGATGCTTTTGACAATTCGATTATCTGCAGCCAATAACAATAAATAAATAAGTAAATGCTGCAGTATACAAGTCAGCACATTTCAGTCAGGCTAATTTTTCATATAGACACTAGAAACTAAGATTTTAAATACTATAACGAAAAATCACAAAAAGGTGCATTATATACTGTGTGTTATTAACACCGTTTTTGGTTTGGTTTTGTTTGTGACTCAAGCTCAGTACCAAGAATGAGCACTGCTCTGACCACATGCAGCACTTTAAGCTACTTCTTACCCATTTGGCTCTCCTTGTTTTCTCACGGTGCAGGACCTAGTCGCACACACTAGGCAAACAAAAGCCACTGAGCTGCATTCCCCACCCCTGTTTGGTTATTTCTAATCATCACTGCTGCATGGCAAGGGTTATTTAACAGAGCATGGCAAAGGAAAGGCAAAGACCGTTTCAACCACAACATGCACACGCCTGAAGGCCGACGATTCCACGGCATCATGAGGCTGCTCGGTATCTTCTGCTTCCCTCTTGAGCTTTTACCAAGTTGAAACTCAGTGAAAATTCTGACAGAAAAACGTAAATCGCAGTAGAGGGAAAACTTTCTAAGTCGAATTTCTCTGGAAACTAGTTGGCCTGATTCTGTTTTAAAAAGTGGAGCTCAAATACACAAATGAAAGGAAACACATGAACTATGAACCAATAGCTGAGGAGCCCCCAAGTGGATCAGGCCCTC